CAGAGGTGTAAATAAGTACCAGTGGATTGTCAGGGAAAATTAACAGTATGCCAGGGGGGGAGGGGGTAACTTGCAATGGACTTACATGTTATCTAAGAAGTAGTAATACTCCTTGTTACTTCATGATTCAGAAACCTGGATGAGCTTCAGCATTGAGGGCAGATTGTCCCCTCTCTAGCAATTCACATTTATTGACATTTTGACCTCTATCATTTCTTTGCAGCGGTTCTGCCAGCTCAATAAAGAGTTCATGGAAGAGTATCTCAAGGCTTTTCAGGAACAAGTGAGTTTTGGAAGTAAATCTAAATCGTTAAACTCTTAAAAGGGAATAGCATAAGAAGAGAAACGAGGATGGTGAAGGATGGTGAAGGTTACCCTGCGGGCAGGCTATCATTTATTAGCGCGGCTACACGGGTGTTTCTTGGCCCGCAAGACTAAAGCGAGCCGGGAGGGGTCTGCTAAGGGTCTGGAGACAAGATTATTAGTGCCAGACCCTAGCAAACCTCGTCTCAAATTTCCTCGCGGGTAGAGAAACACGAGTCCCGTAACTCTGCTCGCAGGCTTGGTTAAGATTAACACAAATTTTGTCTGAAATTTTTTTGTGTTTATTTCTCAGTACGAAACAATCCATCGCCTTGAGACAAACAAACTTAGGAACGTGGCTAAGTTCTTTGCTCATCTTCTCTTCACTGATGCCATCCCTTGGACGGTAAGTTTGCTAAACTGGAGTAATTTACAAAAGCTGCGGTTTTAAAGATAGTTCTGCGTGTCCGAACCAACAACTGTAAAGGGAAGTTTTGCATTCAATCTTAAAAGTGATTATATTCGAGCTAAAAACATTCGCCGCGTCGGGGGAAAGTTAATTAATGATCCCTTTTCTTACCTTTTGGCAGGTGCTAGATTGTATCAAACTTAATGAAGACGAAACCACATCTTCTAGGTATGTTTGAGTTTGGTTACGAGATTAGCCAGCGAGCACGCCATTTTTAGCACTGCAGGCTCAGCGTTTCTCGCCCGCGGGAAGAGTAAGACAAGTTGATGAAAAGTTGGCTGGGGGTCTGGCACTATTAATAATCCGTGCTAGACCCCTCCCAGACCTCTCGCCGACTCTTGTTGCCCCAGGCCTCTTACTTTCCCGCGGACAAAGAAACCCTCTTGCCGAAGCGCTAATAGTGAAGGCTTGCTCTCAGGCTATTATGAGGTTGATTTCAATGAATTGTATCAATTTCATTTTGCATAGGAATTCTCCACCCCTTTTTTTATTCATGTTTGCAGCCGTGTTTTTATAAAGATCCTGTTCCAAGAGTTGGCCGAATACATGGGTCTTCCCAAACTCAACGAACGACTTAAGGATCCGTAAGTACTTTAAAGTCTTTCTTGAATGTGAAGAATCTTCATGGCATAAATCTTTTTAGGAACTCCATTTGCCGGCCTCTCATGCTGCTGGAATAAGAGCCTACTAATACACAAGAAAGAGCAGTAGTATAGGCCGCTAAACGTAAGGCGCGCGGAAATTTCGTAACTTGCCCCCACCCACCTCCTTTTGGAAAACCTAGCTATGTCCCTGAATGTGTAATATGACTCTTGCCATGGTAAGGTCACTTATCAAGCTTAAGCTTGTTTACGAACTGAAAACTACTTCAAATTACTGTCTAATTCCATTCTTCTTTGAACATTGTCGTAGCATTATTTCGTTCTTTTTTCTGTCACTCCGCCCCAGGTTCCTGGCGCAATATTTCGAAGGAGTCTTCCCCCGCGACAATCCACGCAACACTCGGTTTTCAATCAATTTCTTCACCTCAATTGGTCTTGGTGGTATCACGTAAGTATCATTTTATACCAAGAAATAAAGAATTTTTTTCAGTTTTGACATAACCTCTTGTATACACGATGAGGTTGGGAAAATTTGGTGCGATCGTGCCAAGCCGAACATTGATTTACGGTTTGCATAGCTTTCGAGATTTCTCGCAAGGTATCTCTGATGGTGGCGTAACTTGAAGTAAATATTTTAAGTCATATATTTTTTTGTTCATTTATTTCAGAGACGAGCTGAGAGAGCATTTGAAAAACGCTCCTAAAATGATCATGTCTCAGCAGAGGCCTGGTGCGAGTGATAGTGACTCGGATTCTTCAGACGACAGTGACAGTGAAGGTTTGGGGGAAATGTTTCTTTGAGGTTCATCATGCGACTTCTCAACTTTGTTCATTACGTAACCATGTGTTTCTCTTCATTACAGATAGTTCAAGTTCGGAAGATACTTCCGAAGAATCTCCGGAGTCTTCTGAAGACTCCTCGGACGATGATCGTAAGAAGAAAAGGTTTGTTAACAAATTTGTTAGCACATTACAAACGAGTAATCGCAATTTTTTGCCGATAGCTGTCATGATGAAGAGTTTAGTAAGTAATCCCAGTCTTTCAGTGCAAAACATGGCCGGATGCATTTGTCATCCAAGTCATTCTCAGTTTGTAGAATTCTCTTTGACATTTGGCAACGTTTGAGCAAGTAAAAGGTTCTTGCTTCCTTTCTTTCAGCAACCAATGTACGGCGAATTTCGATCGACTTTTGCACAACCATAACCAGGGAAATTGCAATTACCTATAGTGTGCTTTTCGACTGAGCATCGTAAAACTGATAGGAAAGCCATCGCAACAGCCAATCATAGCAAGGAAAAATATCACCAGGGGCCAATAAGAACTCAGAGTAATAACAAGCAAACTTCCCGAAGCGCGGGAAAAACGCGAGTGTCTTAGTGGCGATTGGTAATAGGTTTGAATCTGGTTGGTTGAGAAAGTGGCGCGAGTTTTCTGGACCAATCACACAGCGAAGTAAATCAAAACCAAAGCAATCCCGAATTACTGTCAACGCTCAACTGAAAATTATCCTAACAATGAAGAAATATATCACCCAAATCAATTCGACTCAGAATAAATACAAGCAAACTACCCGAAGCTCGGAAAAACGCTTGTGACAAAGTCACGATTTAGTGGAGTTGTGCGTTTGATTGGCAGAGACCGTGGCCTGGAACGGATCTCTTTGGACCACTCACTTACCAAAGTGTTGCAAAACCACTTGAAGATGTTTTCTCCCTGATTCTGTTAAAACTTTCAGTGATAAAATTTTCTCCTCCTTGTTTTACAGGCATGAGAAGAAACATTCGTTACGGAAGAAGAAGAAAGAATCGGGTTCCAAGAAGAAAGAATCGGATTCCAAGAAGAAAGAATCGGATTCCAAGAAGAAAGAATCGGATTCCAAGAAGAAAGAATCGGATTCCAAGAAGAAAGAATCGGATTCCAAGAGACGCAAGAAAAGGCGATGAAAGTATTAAGCTGAGATTAGAGGGAATAATTTTTAATGAGTTTGTGCTCGTTACTCACACGTGCTCTCCAATAAGTTTCATCGTTTTGGAGAAACAAAAGACAGTGGAGACTTGAGGCGAGACTGTAATAAGTAGGGTGGAGTGACCTTCTTCCCCTCCTTTTCTCTCCTCCCCTCCATTCCTTCCCTTTCTTTGTGCCTATCCAACTTAAGAAGCAGGCTGAGTTAGGTGTAACCTTTTACACCCTAACATCAGAATACATATTCTCCATACTATTCTCTATACATTTCCTAGGGTGCTGACAAGGAGAATTTGATTAACAATCAGTAGCTTCTTTAATTGGTGATCATGTCCTCAATTCTCTTGTGAGGAGAAATTAGATGCCAGTCAGGGGTTAAACGTCATTGGAAAGAGAAAGTTGTCGGCCGTATAGCCGTCGTATACGATCGTGTAAGGGAGAGTGAGTCCGCGATACAAGCTTGTGATCGCTCACAGGATTTAGGATCATATTGGCCTCTGTAGGGAGGGGAGGGTAAAGACAAAAGGTAGCGTTTTCAATGAATACTTTTATCCTGACTCCTTGTAAAAATTTCAAAATCTACCATGCAGTTTTCGTTGAAAGATGTAAATAACATTTACAAGTTGTACTTTTGTCATGGTTTTTTTTGTTTTTAATCCTTAGTTTTCAACACAAACTTTATTTTAGATTTTTTTAGTCGGAGGTATCTTGGCAAATGTTTGATTCCTTTCTTCGAGTTCGCGAAGCAAGGCAGGCTAGGTGTTCGGCGAAAATCCTTTAAGCGCTTCCTACTACCTCTGTTTCGAACAGTTATGTCATTCGAGTGTCGCTGTAATCAGAGATTGCGAATGTTCCAATTTATTACGCTTTTTGATTGGTCCAGAGAACTCTATTCACACTCTCAACCAATCAGATTCAAGCCTGAAACCGGCTTCGTCGCACGCGCACTTGGGGCAGCCTGTATGTTTTGTTGTCCTGGACCGGGGTTAGTATGAAATTGATTTCAGATCTGAAAGCTTTAAAAGAAAGCTCAGTTTAACTATTTTTGTCTACAGTTTGATAATCGGATGCTCTTAAAAGAATAGGGAAAACAATACCAGAAAGGTTCTTGAATAGAGAAAGATAGAAACCTGGATAAAAATTCAACCCTAGGTTAGTGCTAATCTGCCTTCGAACAACTGGGCCCTGAATACTCATTGCCTACTTCTGGTGGTAACCCTGTGGTAACTTTGTTTTCGGTTTACGAATGGCAAACAGACGAAGTGCACTCAAACGAAAACCTCGAATTGTTTCCTCAGAAAACGGAGGTAAATTTGTTTTCGTAAGATGTGTAAGCTTATTCGAGATGACTATTTTTCAACAAACCGGTTCAATATTTCTTGGGAGGGGGAAATCTTGGATTGGTCAATATGAATTTAGTATGTAAGTTTTTGCTGTTTTTCTTCATCAGTAGCTCTTGCAGCTGTTTCAAGATTTCCTCCTTTGTACAACTTTCTTGGCCTCGTTTGCACAAAGGCTGGATGGTGCCATCCACCGGATAAATCGCTGTCCAGCGGCCAAGAGTTTACAATACAAAACATGCTAAGCAATCCGCTGGCTAGCAACTTGTGCAGTGGATAGCGTTCAACCAAGGCCAGGGCACTACAAAATGTTGCTCAAAATTTCGTTATCTAGCGACTTGAAAGTCTTTTGAATTGAATTTTTTTAGCCCAACGAAGGTTGCGAACTTTCTTTGTTACGGATATGACACACTATTGTGACGTGCCTTCCGGCGCCCATTAACTTGTATCAATTCTCCTTACTATTTAGGATACATTTTCGTTTATTGTGGCTCCGAGAATTTGGTGTCAAATCAAATATATCAATTTCTGCTTGATAATGTATTACATAGTAGAGAGAGGAAAGCTATTGCTCGGGATAGTGACGGAGTTGGTAAGGAATAGTGTTCTTAAGGTTGTGAGCGATGGCAGATGTATCCAAAATCGGTCTGTGCCTCGCGGCGAGCTAGCAACTCTATGAAATGACCTAACCTCCCCCGCGATACCCCTCCAGCCCTGGATCACGTGCAGATCACGCAAAACTGTGACTTTTGCGTCGCGAAGAAAAATCTTGTTTTGACTGCACATAAAGTCCCCGTGAACAAGTTCGGTTTACGATAACGTCTACACTTTTTAGATATCAGACTTATTACGCAACAAGGTCTGTTTAGTGAGAACACGGCTGCAAGTCCGGCTTACCACACTTACTCTTGTTTCGTCATCTGCTATGTGCTTCGTAGAGTACAAATAACGCGCGAGACGGGTACAAATATCACGCGATATTTGTACTCCAGAAATATCCGCGAAATTCGATCGCCCGCACTGAAATAACAATTTGACGTGTTGGATAATAAATCTCTTATTAGACGTTTTCGTTGTGTAGTATTACTGAGTTTTTTTTTCTCGTTGTTTGTATTTTGACTCGCCCCACGGGCTCGTCAAAATACGGCACAACTCTTAAAAGTACTCGGCGATACTACACAACAACATGTGTAATAAGATTTATTAAAAACAAGATCATTGGATAATGCAATTCAAGACATTTTATTGGCTTAGCCATTATATATACATTGTATCAGACAAATTTACGCTACCCACTTCCCCGAAGCGGCTAAATCAGCGTTTAATTTTCCCTTGAGGTACTCCGGTGACAATTTATCTGTCGTGTGCAAATATGCGCTACCTACTCTTCCAAAATAGCTAAATTGTGATGCCAAAAATTTTTTTCCGATTAGTCACGAACTTTTTCCCGTCGCTTCGGCCAAAGTCCCCCAGCGCTACAAAGAACGAAAGGACTATTGTTTACTACTTAATGTGTGAATTTGAGCCGGAACAATAGACCATTTCTTAATACGTATCAGCCAATATACCATAATCTACAAATATGGTAAGCGTACGTGTTAGGTTAAAATCAAAAGGGAGCTAAAAATTTATTAAAATTTAATAATTCAATTAAACGTTTCTAATAAAACAATTATTCCACTCACGCTTGTTGGATATGAGATCAATGATTATAGCCAACTCGGCGCTACGCGCCTCGTTGGCTATCTATCATCTCATATCCAACGCGCGCTCGCGCTCGTGGAATAATTGTTAAATATTTGTTATCCAACCGTGCTTCGTAGAGTCTAATAACGCGCGAGACGAGTACAAGTATCATGCGATATTTGTACTCCAGAAATGTCCGCGATACTCGTTGTTTGTATTTTGACTCGCCCTACGGGCTCGTCAAAATACGGCACAACTCGTAAAAATACTCAGCGATACTACACAAGAAAACGTCCAGTAAGATATATTAATTAGGCGGGTTAACTTCCTGCCTTTTCCAAAAGGGCGGGCGGAATGTGCTTGAGTCGATCATTTATTTAACGACAACCGAAACAAAGAAACACTATGACAGCAAGAAGAACTGTTCTTTTTTTTTTTTTTTCTTCAATGTTTCTTTCTTCATGTTCTTTTTTTCCATTTAATCCCGGAAATTTGAGTTTTTCTAAAGACAACCCTTTCTCCCGAAACTACAAATCCAGATATTTCTACCTCTTACGTAAACATATGATACAGATGTACTCGCCGAGCTTTGAGCGGCAGACCCGGTTGCCGTAAAGACACCTCACTCTTTTTTTTCCTTAGTAAAACTCACGACGTATTCCATTGAGATGGCAGGCCTAAGCCATTTTAGCGAGATCTCGGTTTTTGTCTAATCTTGAGAGCTGGAGATAGAAAATCTTTTATGATCACCCTAGCACCGTAACAAATTGAAGGGTCTTTCTTCGTTTATCCCCATGAACTGTTGCCAGAATTGGCGAAAATCACCAAATTAGCCTCCGGTACGTCCTTAAGAAAGAAATCAGGCTGAAATATCCTATACGAACAGAGGAACAATTTTCAGTGTCCCGCTCACCGGCCCGGGCTCTAGTGAAAACACGTTTTAATTAATTGATCTTTTGTCAAAGCCTGAACTGACCGTCCTGTCCAAAAACAGGGAACTTTAGGCGGTCTGTCTCTTATCTCAATCTTTTAGGGGACTCTACACTCTAGCTCGTGAACCTTGATCGCCTGGACAGTTGGTACGTATCACGCACTAAAACGTGGGGTATACCGTCTGGTTGCATAGGGCTGGAGTAGCTTCCGGCAATGTGAAGATCTTTCTGTTGCGCTACTGCTCCTCAAAGTCAATATTTCTAATCATCTCTAATAACTTTTGCGAATAAGAATTTAGAGAGAGAAAGAGAAAAATTCGACGAGAATTCGAGCAATTGCGTCTTTCGAACTTTCGTCCAACTTGATATATATTTTAGACTTTGATTTATATGGAATTTGACTTTTGCTTTAAGAAAAAAATCCCCATACACGATCATATTTCGTGTACGTGAACGTTTTCGCTTTCGTACACGTGATCGATAACACTGTTGCGATCTGCTCATGCAAACAATACACATCCACCCAAGTAAACCATTGTCACACTTCTATATTGGACCATACTAGGCTAAAAAATTTACATAATTGCCCGCCCAACCCGAAATATTTTAGCTTAAACGTGCCTTGTGGAGAAACAGGATCTTTCTCTAGACAGACCATTTTTTTCTGTTTGACGATTTCTGTGGCAAACGATGCCAACACAATGCAGATTACGTAATTACTTATACATAAGTTAAGGACTAGTGTTCACATAAATAAACATCTCATTTACCTTTGAAAAGAATTTACTTTCGCTGCAATACCTCTATTGTATGCGTACAAGTTTCTTTCCACTTAACCATAAATTTACACCTTTTAACGTGTTTTGAACAACAAACTTTACAATTTCTTGCGAAACTTTGTACCGCAATTTCTCTGTACATTCTTGTCCGACAAATACAGTCAAAATTATTGTAGTTCTGCTACATATTACAATATTTACGAGCTTCTTTTAAATTTTAAAGTATACACAAAATCGTTAAGTCATTTTTCAATATTGAACAAAATGAACTTGATCGTCAGCAACCTCGCAAAAAAATCAAGAAGTTTGCAAGAGAGCGCAAAGAAAATTAGCACAATAATCGAGTTAAATCTTTCACGATTCGGCGCACCTTTCGAGCGTGTAAAAACGTTCGTTTGATTCTAGTTCAGTTCCAAATCAAAAGCATCGCACCTCTTCTTCATAACGAGCAGTAAGATTTCGAGCCATAGTTGTATACTGCAAAAATGTTTGGAACAACTCCGACAGTTTTTGGTGCAATTTAGGATCTGGAAGCTCGAAATTCCGCGAGCCTGAGAGCAATTCAGTGCGAAGTTTCTCAAGCAAAACGAAAACATCGAGCAAAGTTTTGACTTGTTCCTCAAATTGAGGCATCTGCTCGCTCACACTGTAGTCGTCGAGGAGACGAGGGAACAAAACGGACTTTTCCATAGATTCCACTTCGTCAGCAAACTTCTTAATAGCTTCCACGAGGCAGTTTTCGGGATCCAATGTCGTCTTGGCCTTGAACTCCTTGAAAGAAGGTAGTTCATGGTTAGGACCAAGGTTTTGCGCTGATGTTTTGATGTACCTCGCCAACAAAGTAAGCTGATTTAAGCGTTGGCAGGAGTCTTGGATTTCTCTTTCGAGTGGAATAATGTTCGATTCGTTTTCAGTCGGTGGACCATATCCCAGTGACAGCTTAATTCTCAATGCCTTTACCATGAAGTAGAAGGCTCTCATGTTCGTGGTATTTTGAAGATACGAGTCTTTCCCGCTCGTCGGCATTAAATCTTTCACAGGCAAATCTATCAACTTCATAGGGATGAGTACAGTGTTATCCATTCTGTCGACTGTCTTCACAAACTGTTCCATAACAGCCACGAAAGAGTTTTCAACGGTTTTCAAACGCCGTAAAGATTCCATTTTTTTCCGTCGACAAACTTCTGAAACTGACAGCTGCGAACGGGAAGCGTTTCGTTTGTCAAACTTGTTCTTCAGCTACAGCGGAAGGTTTCCTCTTCGCCTCTTTGAAGCCACAAATTAATGTCAGTGAGGTTTACAGCTCCGTACTATTTCGGGATAATTCGTCAACAACCCTTGAAATGAAGGCGATCTTATTGTTTTATAGTTTCAGCAACGTGACACAGTTTTCCTGCCCGCGTGTGGCGTGAGGGTTTGTTATTGTTTTGTGATGTCTGTTCACGTGCTGTCCACATGAAGTCGCCGTGGGCTTATTCAGAGTCAACATACCATAAAGCAAGCTTAAAATTTCCTCCTCGTGTGTTCAAAATACAACTCTTCGAGTTCTTCAGTCTTTTAATTCATTCTCTATAGTTTCAGACAGTAACCATAGCTGGATTTTTACATTAAAATAAAAAATATCACGATTTCGGATTTAGAAGTGTTTCGTGCTCAAACCCGCTCGATATTGCAGCTCAATTTTGATTGGCTATTAGGACAATAAAGAAGAGGCGTGTATAGGGCGTAGAGGTGGCGTGTTCTGTAACGCCAGACCATCTGTTTGCCATTTGCCAAATCATACATTCTTTGTCGATTGCGGAATAAATCTCATGAGATTGGACTTCCCTTATGTCTTAAACTTCATTTTCGTTTCCTAGTTTCAGGAGGACGCTACTCATTTCAATCCCGACTAAATTATCTTAATTTACGCCAAAATAACCTTGAAAAGACCATGTACCTGAGTTCTTTATGTAATCTTCATTCATTTTAATTCTTTTTTCTTATCCATGACAACAATCTTTCTTATTAAAGCTTGTTCAAAGAAGTCAGCAGCCATTTTTAGTGCCTAATTCCCTCTAAAGAGCCACAAATATGACCAGAATTCTTGAGGTTAATTTCCGTACAAATATGCATGTATTAAGTTCTCGGAAAATTGCAAAATCAGCAAAGTGAAAGTGCACAATCGATCTGCCACTGCTACGAAGCGATATAGGCCTAAACAACCAAATACACAGATAAATAACTCAATCGTTGCTTAAGTAAGCAACACTGTAGAAATGTATGCCTGGTCAAACAAATATTGCGTCGTCTTTGAAATATATTTCCTGATCACATGTTAGGTTTATTTACATAAATTTTTACGTGAGGCGTGACAATCTTTTCATTTCATAATTTTAATTTGAATACCAAATTTGCCGCCATGTTGGTGGACGTAAACAATGGATATCTCATTAGCTTCTTTTGTTCGTCCACCAGCATTTGTTCCTTTCACCATTGTTACCTGTGTCTCTAGAGATTGGTTGCAAACCACCTATAGCCGCCGTGGCGACTAAAAATTTATTTGTTGCATCATATTCTTTGAAACTGACTTTCCTTCCTTCGACAGAGCCGGATGTAACGTAGTATGAAGTTTCCTTCGCCTGTCTATACCAAAAATAATCTCGCAAAATCTAAATCTTATTAAACCTGCTAAATCTGTTCAGATGCAAGACACTTATTTAGAAATACTAATAAAAATGTGTTTAAAACAGTAATTATGATGAATTAAAAAAGTTAAAGCTGAAGGAGATGAATGATACTTCTATAGCATCCTACACAGTTTTTTGGTCAACAGGCGCATGCCATAGTCCATGTGATATAGGGTACGAAAGTCCAATCACACTATCAGTTATGTCAAAAACAGCACGAACGTAAGTCAACCTAGACACCCTTTTTTCACGTGTGTTCTCGTTTACTCGGACACCCCTACTCCTTGTAATCTCCAGCCAACGTGACCGCGAATGAAAAAGTTCATTCAAAGCGCGCTCACTGGCATTTCCTGCACGAATTTGACTCGACTATCACCTTCATCTGCCCTTTGTTCGCGGCTAAGGAAATGGTGCACTCGTAAGCTTAATTTTTATCCGTTTGATTTCTGGGCTGAAATTTATACGGCACTCACATGTATCTGGTTGAAAATTGACCAGTTAAAAAAAAATCGTTTGAATATTGATTACTTTGGTGATAAAGATACCTCAAACATGAGCAAAATTCCCTTAATTTTCATACGAACAAACGCACTTTTAGATGCAACAATAGAAACACGTTCTGCGTGCGGTCAGACAAGTTAAGCAGAAGCTTTGAACCCATACTTGTACCCAGAGGTGATCGTGTGTTTGGAAAACGATCTTGTATAGAATTTTTCTTTTTACAGTTTCATTACGTTCTTACTTTTTTGAGCACTCAAAATTTGTATTTTTGAAGTTTCTCGATGCACGCCGATATTGTCTTTGTTTATTTACATAATGGTTTTGTTTCACGTGCGAGGCTATTTAGTGCACAAACTTTCACGTTTTGCGGCATTACGCGGCCGGGTTACTGATGTGCAAGATAACGAGAAACTGTATATTGGGTGGGTATAATTGGAACGGCGGTGAGCGTATCAGGCCTACAAAATACATTTTTTACGCTTTGCAAGCGCATTTTTCCTATTGTTTTTCGCTGTCTTCCACCTACGTTACTTTATATTCTGTTAGATTTTTTCGTATAATTTTGCTTTGTTTGATTTCATTCGTAAAAAAGGCTTCTCGGTAGCATTGGAGCATTCGAGTTCTTTAGATCAACGCTAATTGTTTAACGGCCTGCTCCCAGTTGGCTTGTTAGCTCAATTGGTAGAGCGCTGCACTAGCATCGCAGAGGTCAGTGGTTCGAATCCCGTACAGGCCTGAATTTTTTCAGGTCTGATTTTCGCTATTGCATAAATAGCGCTCTCTACTGCGAGGATCGTGCATCATACGATAATTGTTTTAATGCGATCTACTCTTACTTTTCCTTCCATCTTGTCTCAAGATCATACAACGTTTGTAAGTGTTTTTCCTTATCCGATTGCCTTTTGTCCTTTGTTTACTATTCTTTCTACTTGTATTTTGTTGTAACTAGTAATTCTTTTCTTCTTTTTAGCAACCGCGATCGGCGGCAATGTATTAAAAGTTAAAGCGCGTTGAAACCGATCTTGTTGGCAGTTATAGAATTGGATGCTTTTATTTTTACCATGTGCAAAATTGAAAAAGATTTCGCCGAGGGCTCTAAGGCTTTATTTAAATCAATGTAATCCTTGATCGAAAAAAGACCAACGCAAATGTGGATAGCAGTTTACATTTTTGCAATAAAACATACGGGTGTGCCGTCTTCGCTACATGCTTCAATCTCTGGTATTCTTCAATTTATTCGAGGACTGCTTTTAATA